TTGTATAGTTTTCTCATCTGGTTGGGCTGTATAAATATATAATTTGTAAATGAAAATGATAAACTTACATAAATATCAATAAAATAAAATAAATACATAAAAATTACATAAATATATAAAAACCCAACCAGATGGAAGCCCTCGCCAGGGGAGACCAAACGGCCGAGGGTTAGGGAGAAAGGGAAAGAAACCGGCGGACGATGCGGGCGGTATCGAGGATCACCGCCTTCTGCATTTGAGCTTGGAGCGATCCGTCACGGAGTCCCAGTCGCCTCAGATTACCCGAGAGGCTGACTGGGATTAACCCGTTCGCAGAGACGACCACAGGAATAATTTCGGCCGGCAGACCACCCCACATGTCGGTCACCTCGTGACCCAGGTCCAGATATTTTGTCAACTTATCTGTTTCGGCTTTCACGAGGTTCTCGTCATAAGGAATGGTAATGTCGATCAAAAATATCCTTGACTGTGCCCGGTCCATCAGCACAATATCAGGCTTATTCGCAAGAATAGTCCTGTCCGTGATGATGGCCCGGTCCCAGTAGAGCCTGGCGCGGTCATTTTCGAACACGGCTTCCGGCAAGTAATTATAATATGGCAGTTTCCGATCCACGAGACCGTATTTCAGAGCGAGCTCCTGGTGTAGAATCCTGGCTACTAGATTGTGTCTGTGCAAATACTCAGAGTTAGAAAGCGCCGAACAACCGGAGATGACATGACTAAGTGACTCACCGGGATGGCGACAAGCTCGACAGATGTCGACGGCGCCATCCTTTAGGATGTATTTCCGATAATAGTTGGTCTTAATAACCTGGTCCTGTATCGCACAGACAAAACCCTCGGTTTCCCCAAAGAGGTCACCGAAACGTAGCTGCATTATAGAGGTAACGCGAAATAAAAAAGAGCAAATTATTCGTGTATATAATAAGAAACCAATTATCTTTAGGTATCTGAGCATGCTTTTGAGTGTGTGTGTCGAGTATACAAATTACTTAGAGCTTATTTAATCTGAGCGAGTTAGTCTGAACATATGTTTTACTAGCCTTTACCCGCGGCACCGCTCAACCGAAACCGACCAATTTTTTATTGCAGATGATATATGATACACTGCGATCCATCTCGAGGCGGTTTTTTCCCGATCATCAAAGTGGATACGCAATGTCGATACACGATCTACGATTTTTCGATTTTCCACTTATATGTTGAAACTGTAAATCAAGCAGCAATGCTCTTCCACCATGGAGATTTTGGTTTCTAAACAGTTCTGCCTGCTACATATCTGTCTTTTTTTACCCTGTTTTGATTCATTACAATAAAACAAGCACATGTAACTGCTACACTCTGAACTATCACAGAGATTGATTCTGGGTCTATGTCTGAATTGAATGAGAGTTGTTGACTGAATCACAAGGAAAATATACGAGGAACGGAATATTTTAAAACGGGGATCGTAGGAAAAATAGAGCGTCTACACATGACGACACGCGTTGGTGACACGCTGACAAGATACGGTATCGTAAGTATGGACGTGGTTAATCGCATAACTGTGGCATGACATGGTGAGAGATACGACATGGTTGAAATGGGCGTCTACAAATACTCGATATGATAAAGGTTATTTTAAAATTCAAGATGACACAAGTGTGAACCCAGCTTTAGAGAACTGTGAAGTGCCGATACGCGCCGAGCAGGTATTTTCAAAAATGCTATTTGTTTCATACCGCTCACTCCGTCTCGCCGTATAGTGCGATAGAGAGTTTTGTAAGTATTGGAAGCAAGTTTTTAAATATTGTTACGGGTGATCAAATTTTCACCCTCACCTTTACGAAATCATAGAGCTGTTTTTGAGAAACCAATAGGTAACAAAATAAAATATAGTATACACATTTAAATAAAAGTATTAAAATATCGGAACAATCCTAAAGTATAAGATATTGTACCTATTTTAACATTTACGCCTGTAGTGTTTATTTTACGAAATAATTATTTATGAGGGTTCGTCCTCTGTGAATAATCTATCATAAAGCAAATTGCCTTGTCCTTATCTAAAACCAATTAACGTCTGTGGTATAAAGGTAACTTAAGGTTAGCTCAAATAAACATCAAGTGTTTCTGAAGATTTGAAACCAAGAACGTTCTAACCGAACTAAATCGACAGGTCGCTTTGCGTTTTGTCATCCATCAGTTAAACAATTAAACCTAATCTTAGAAAAACGTCAGTATACTAAGTGATTATTTTCCACCCATCCATTTATTGCCGCCTATCAAAAGTATACTGCTGAACAAGGATCTCCCCCATAAATTGCCTTATATAATATACGAATATTTGCCGTTATAGGCTGTCCAGTAAAAAAAAATTAACCGATTTTTGTAAAATCTGTTGTCCAGAATACTTCTTTAAATGTCACTGAAATCGTTACTATGTCATATACTCGTCGATTAAATAATGGACTATATAATATTTTATTATCGTATATCTATTTCATCAGTGTTATTTTACTTTGATATGTATTTCTAGAACTTATCCTTAAAGATCTATGGGATATCTATGGGCCATGGTTTATTTATTTCTAATCTAGTTAATCAAAATATGACTAATATTACAGAAAAAGATTAACCCTCACACTTTCCTTACTAATTGACTTCCCTGCAATGAAAGTACAAATAATTATTTGACAAAAATTTCACATCATTTCTAAGTAGCACCGTTCTGGTGGCAAATCAGTCAGATTTGATAGACCACAAACCCTCGCAAAAGAACCCCGATTCCCACCAAGGATGATTCACGAGGCTATTGAGAATAAAGAAACATTCTAATTCCAATAGAGGAGATGGATGGGATCATATAATTAATAATATTACATCCAAACCTAATCAAGACTTCAAGATACTGTAATCTCGTTCTGCATAGATAGGATGAAAAATTTATATTCAAAAACTGAAGGTAGCCGGGCTAACTATGACATCGGGACGTCAAACACCTCAGTCCCCACTCACCAGACCTTGCGCCTACAGACCTTTTCCAGAATTTTGATAACTGTTTGGCGGGAAAAAAAATTTAATACTCGAGAGGGAGTACAAAATGCCTTTTAAGACTTTTTTGCCTCCCGTGCAGTTAATTTCTTCAAGAAGGGCAGCAATAAACTGCCACTGCGTTGGTGATGATACATCGATTGCATGGGTTAAAAAATTACGTTAACTTATTTTATAAGGAACGGGAATTTAATAGTTTTACCTACCTCATCATCATCATTACAGCCTTTCACAAGTCCACTGCTAAACATAGGCCTCCCCCAAGGAATGCCACAAAGCACGGTCCTGAGCCACCTGCATCCATCGACTTCCTGCATGTTTTACCAGGTTGTCACTCCATCTCGTGGGGGGTCGCCCTACACTTCGCCTACCAGTACGAGGCTGCCACTCAAGAACCTTTTTTCCCCATCGGTTGTAGGTTCTTCGAGCTATATGGCTGGGCCACTGCCACTTCAGCTTACTAATCCGTTGGGCTATGTCGGTTACTCTGGTTCTACTGCGGAATCCTCATTCCTAAGTTTATCACGCAGAGAAACTCCGAGCATAGCCCTCTCCATAGCTCGTTGAGCGACCTTGAGCTTCCTCATACGGCCAGCAGTGAAGGACCACGTCTCAGATCCGTAAGTCATCACTGGCAACACGCACTGGTTTTACAATTTCGTTTTAAGGTTTTGAGGTATGTCTGACAAGAAGATGTGTCGTAGCTTCCCGAACGCTGCCCAGCCGAGTTGAATCCGTCGATTGACCTCTCGGTCGAAGTTAGACTTACCTAGTCGGACTATTTGTCCCAGGTAAACATACTCATCAACAACTTCGAACTTAGTGCTCCCAACAATTACCGGCATAGGTGTGACATGGACATTAAACATAATCTTTGTTTTGTCCATGTTCATCTTAAGACCTATACGTTGGGAGACACTATTGAGGTCATTGAGCATAGTGCTTAGGTCCTCCATCGATTCTGCCATAAGGACTATATCGTCGGCAAATCGAAGGTGAGTGATGTACTCGCCATTGATGTTAAAACCGTATCATTTCCAGTCCAGAACCTTGAAAACGTCATCCAATGCAGCGGTGAAGAGTTTCGGGAATATACCGTCACCCTGTCTTACACCTCTCTGCAATTGGATAGGTTTCGTACTCTGGTTCTGTACTCGGATAGCCATCGTAGCTCTACTGTACAAGCATATTCTCTATTCTAAATTTAAATGCCTATAACACGAGACGGCAACGAGCATAGCTATGTTGTCAAAAAAAAACGGGAAAACTTTGTGATGTCAACGTCGAAAAACGTAACAGCTTGTCAGTTTTGTACCTTTGTGGTCGCATACAATATTGCTCAAAGTAAAATTATATAAACATTTGATTAAACAACTTTTAATTTCATCATTTATTAATTAATTATGACCTATCAATATTCAATACTTAACACAGGTTGTTTAATAAATTATCAAACATTAATATTTATTTGTAGTCTGTATGTATTAATTATTATCTGTGTATTTTACTTGCAACACTTTAATTTAAGTTTACCAATTTTTGTATTAGCAACTTCCCTTCTGATCCCCTTATTCAAAGTGTGTAAAAGGCTCTCCAGAATATAATTGTAAAATTAAATTCCAAAATTAAATTTAAACTTGCATTTTATTTATACATGCATGTGAAGTGGTCCTACGAGCTCTTGTAGTGAGTTTTTCGCGTAATTGCGGCATTTTGGCGTGATGTGTGGTACAGAGGTACCTTCCGAACGTTATTCTTCGAGGTGTATGAGGCCAGCCAATTCTCGAGATATCTATATTTTCTTGACTATGGACCGTCGAGAAGAATGAAAATAACATCAAGACGATAAAGCTATAGAAGAAATCACGTTGTAATTAATAGTTCATCCATTTCGATCAACATCTTAAAGTGTGAGGTAGATATAAATTTTTCTCCATTTCGCAATTGGTCTATCTTAACAGTCAAGTCTGCTCAATATTCATTGGCGAAAGGTTGGTAGCATTGAGTTCATGCTGCTCATAAGTACTGCCCTTTGCGAGTTTAACAACTTTAAGTTGGCAGCTATTAAAGCTGCGTATCGACTTCGCGCAGCAAACCATCGAGCATTGGCTCGCGCGACAGCCACGCACATTGTATCTGTATACTGTGTTGACGCGCTCGAACGAGCCGCGCGAAGAACTAATCCGAGTCGGTTTTTGACAGGGTGGCAAAGGAATCTCAGTGAGTGAGTGCTAGCTCAGTTAGGACGGTCGTTTACGTATTTTAGTTGGCGCGCGCGGGAAAAACGTACTAAAAATAAAAAATAAATATGGTACTAAACAATTTCTATGGAACAGAAAATGTAGTGGTTATCGTAACAAATCATTAAGAAAAGATGCTTGGAATAAAATCAGTGCAGAAATGGGCTTGCTTGCTTGTAACTGAACTTAAAAAGAAAATGACCACTCTTTTAGCATCGTATAGAAGAGAGAAATCTACAATAAACCAAACCCTTATTACTGGTTCTGGGAATTAACTAAAGTAACTAATATTATAACCTATCTAATAGAAAGATTCATTACCTCGAATTTGGGGTTATTTATTCGAGGCTATTAACATTGTAATTTATTTCGTTTAGAACGTACATAATATGGATGTAAAGATTTATATAATTTAATTTATATAATTATATTCGAATACCTTTGGAAAAATAAATAAGAATTTCCACCTTACAAAAGAAATGTGTACACATAACAATCAAACATACTTAAATCTATACTTTCGCATTTATAATATTACTAACTTTCCCGCCGCGGCTCCTCTCGCGTGTTTTTTCTATTATATCGCGTTCTCAATATTATCCCATGGGAAACTTTTTTTCGGAATGAAAAGTATATGGCCTATATCCTATGGCCTTCCTTGTGCTATAAAATATGTCCATGTAAAATTTCATCAAAATCGGTTAAGTAGTTGAGGCGTGAAAGCGTATTAGACAGACAGACAGAGTTACTTTCGCATTTTTATAACATTAGTAAAGATTAAGATAGAAGTTTTGTCAAACTTTGTCTATTAGCCGGTAAGTAATCTGAACTGACGTATTTTATTACAGGTGTCAACGATTTCTATGTATCGAAATGTTTTGCTTTTGACGACTTCCACTTCATGAAAAATAAAGATGTACCCAATGAAACATTTGATACTTTATATGATGATGATGTAAGTTAAGTTTTAGTATCGGTTTTACCAAGGTATTGCACCATTTGTATAAATGTGGATTGCTAGATGTGAAAGTATATCTTTTGAATAAATTCCTGCTCTTCTTGGAATACTTAAGATTATAACACTTTTTAGGGCGTTACTCACCGGCTACGGTTATCGAAGAGTCAAGGGACTCGAGGATCAAAATAAAAGTATCCCAGGGCGCCTGTTGTTGGATGATTAGTAAATGAAAATGCTAAGATATATATACAGACAAAAAGTAGTTTATTTCCTTCTACGGTTCACATGTATAGCTCCAAATATCAAGTTTTCACTCTAAAATACCCTACGAACTGAGGTTTTGACTAACCTGGTGGATTACACAATATTACACTGTTTATGGTCAATCCCGCGAAGCAGTGAGGCACAGATATCCTCCAGGTGTACGCCGGTCGCGGTCTCCTGGCCGCCCAGTCCCAATATAACCACCCGTTGAAGCTGCCTCGCCTCGTTCACATTGTTAAACTTGACCATACTCAAAGTACGGACTAAGGACTAAGGACTAAGGACTAAGGACTAAGGACTAAGGACCCCTATGACAAGGCAAAAGAATCTATGAAACACCGTGTACCGTTAATTAGAGCACATGTGCTTTTAAGAAGACAAAAACGTTAAGTACTTACAATTTATGGGATGATGTGTTTCAACACATTAAACTGCCCGTAGACATTGTGTTTAAGGGGCCGTACGCCCAAGTAGTCGTCACTTTAAATTCATGTTCCGGCGTTTCGATTCAAAAATTATATATGTGCGTGTCCGATCATTACAACGGCTCGCTCCAAAAAGAACTAGGCCTCCCTTGGGCTACACGCCACCGTCGATCCGTGGTAGGATTTCGAACTAACACGAAAGGTCAATTGCATGCAATTAGCTAGCTCGATTCGTCAATATACGTTTCTAGTTACTTCGGACTAATGACGTTAGATGGCGCTCTGAAGTCTGTTCATCGCATGTAATAACGTAAATATGCTAAAATAATGTACACGAAAATTTTCGTGTTACACATCCCCTTTGCTTGGGTTAAAAAGTTCTTCGTAATGAAGATACTTTTTCCGAAGACATTTCGTGCCACCTGCAGAACAACGACTGAATACCAAAGACAGTGAAGAAGTCGTAATGCGTCTCTAATCCAATCTGGCTAAAAATATTCGCACGGATAGTAAATTCCAAGTCACCCATGCACCAACAACTAACAAGTACCAAGCCATCACTTAATCACTTAATTACGACGTTTAATCTTACACAAGGCTCATTATTACTCTACTTATTACCTAATTTTCATTTCTGTATCTGTATACCTAGTAACATTATATTCCACTAAACAATTTAACCTCAAAATGTAATTACCTACTTGTGTTGTAGACACAAAAAAAAAAAAACACTACCACAAATTTACCTACTTGTGTTGTAAGTTAGAAAATACTACACTAATTGTTATACCTAAATTAACCTAATGGCATGCAACTTTATATACATTTATTCCTACATGTTTTTTACAATAATGAAATACAACTGCCTATGAATAATTACGTTCCCGAATCCTACACGCGAATAGTCTATTACCATTCATGCGGTGCGTGACGTAACATCACGGGACAGAAACGAATACCTACAGTGCACTAAGCCTACACACGATGTTTACGTTTCGACTCGACTTTTCTCTAAGTAGTCGAAAAACGAACGTGTTCTTATTTATTAAGTTAAGTAATTAAGTGATTTGGAAATCATATTAAGTATTAAGTTAAGTTAAATATCTATCTCGCATTAAGTTAAGTGAATTAACGTTTAATCATATTAAGTTAAAAGAAACAGCTTAAGTAATGCTACGCACTGGCTGGTATGCATTTTCTTATATAATGTCCAGAGTGCGGACATAAAGAACAAATTCTTATCTAACTCGCGCCGATGTTCACAACATAAGATGACCTACTAGTTATGTATCGCTCGTTCATCAATACAATCACAGCTTATTTATCTCAGAAAGTTCACCGGTGGAAATGAATTTTGAAAATGTTTATTATTCTTACATGCTTTCACTCAATCATACTCTTCACTCACATTTTTACAAAACTATTAGTCATCTTGTTTAAGGATGTCTTTTATGTGAAAATTACCTAGTGTCTTACCTTCCATGCTGGCTAAGGTATACACTAAAGGTGATAATTTCGCTGTTATGACACATTTTTGAAATTTTGGTGCTAGTTTAGCCGTAAATCTCTTTGAGGCATTAGATAGGTAATGGGTACGTTTATATACAATCTGACCTACTTTTAACTCAACATGTCGTTTTCTTAAGTTATAGTACTTTTCATTTCTAGAATGAGCATTTTTAATATGCTTTTGTACCTTTTTAAATATGGTGTCTAATTCCGCTAATTTTTTACTGTATGCTAGTGGTTCACCGAGAGTTACTTGTGATCTTTGAACTGGCTGAGTGCTATCTAAGCTGTGTAACATTCCATCTATTATGAATTCCCGTCCGTGCACAAGAAAATACGGAGTAAACTTAGTGGTATCATTCACGGCTGAATTAAGTGCGCATTGCAACTGTGGGATGTTCTCGTCCCATCGTTTATGCTCGGTACCTACATAACATGATATACCGTTAACTACGTTCCTAATCGCTCTTTCGGCTTGATTTACCTGTGGGTGATAACGCGGGTTATAATAGATATTCGGTACGTTATATTTATGTAACAGTTGCCTAAACTGATTAGACACATATTGTGGGCCATTGTCAATATAGATAGTCTTACATACGCCATGTAATAGGAACACTTTCTCTTCTATGAACTTAGCGACCGCAGCGCCTGTTGCGATCCGTATAGGATGCAACATGACATACTTGCTAAAATAGTCTGTACATACAATTAAGTGAATATTCCTATTGCGAGAAACCGGAAATGGGCCTAGCAAATCGCAACATATGGCTTCCCAGGGTTTGTTAACCTCCTTCGGGTTTCCCATTAAACCAGGTCTAGCCGTGTTGACGGGTTTGTATTGTTTACATATCTCGCATTTTTTAACATATTCTTTCACATCTTGGTACATGCTGGGCCAGTAATAATTAAGACTAAGACGCTTGTGGGTTTTAAAGACACCCAAATGAGCACTAACTGGTTCATCATGACATTTCTTTAAAATATCTAACCTGTCTTCCTCGGGTACCACTAACTTCCAATTAAACTCATTCGTTAACTCATATTTATTTTTAGAGTACCTAAGCAATCTATCGTATTTTACCATGAAGTTGGGATATTTGCGAGGGTTGGCCTGACAATCTTCGTATACATGTCTATACCACGCATCACTGGTTGCTGGCGTAGCGATTGCATCAACTTGAATCCTACTTAGTGCGTCTGGAATAACATTTAATTTATCTTTTCTGTGTTCTATTTCGAAATCAAATTGACTCAATCGCATGCTCCACCTGGCTAAGCGACCTGATGGGTTATTTAATTTATAAAACCATAATAACGAGGCGTGGTCGGTTATTATTTTACACTTTGTACCTTCTACATAAGATCTAAATTTCTCTAATGCGTAAATCACGGCCATAAGTTCTCTTCTCCGATGTGGAAAAATTAATTTCATTTTTGGCAAGAGACCGACTGCAGTATGCTATGGGATGTTCTACCCCGTCATAAGTCTGGGTTAAGACTCCGCCCACAGCCACTGAGGAAGCGTCACAATGGATAGAAAAAGGCAAATCAAAGTTTGGACATTTAAGTATCGGAGCAGATACTAAAGCGGTTTTTAAGTGGTTAAATGACTCATCTGCCTCCGTAGTCCATTCAAAGCGGACATTTTTGCTAGTTAACTTATTCAACGGTTTACTAATTTTCGAAAAATTGTTAATGAACTTCCTATACCAGCCTGCCATGCCTAGAAACCTTTTAACCTCTTTAGCGGAAGTTGGAGTTGGATAATTCAATATAATATCTACCTTTCCCGGATCAGTTCTAAGTCCATGTTTGTCAACTAAATATCCCAAGTACTTAAGTTCTCTACGGCAAAAGATAGACTTATCCATGTTTATAGTCAAGTTTGCGTCCCTGAGTTTTGCGTAGACCTTATGCAAGAGCTGCACATGTTCTGAGAAAGTGCTGGATATTATGATTATGTCGTCTTGGAAACAGAATACTTTGTTGTTAAATTCGGGACCAAATAGCCTATCCATTAATCTCTGCATTGTGCTTGACGCGGAAACAAGGCCAAACGACATTACATTGAATCTAAATAACCCCCTACGTGGCACTGTGAACGCGGTCTTATCAGCTGATTGCTCGCTATCATAGGGTATTTGCCAATACGCAGCGGAAAGATCTATTGACGTTAGGTATTTCGCATAGCGGAGCTGGTCCAATATGCTGCTTATATACGGGAGAGGATACGCATCGGGTTTGGAAACTGCATTTAATTTTCTACAATCTAGACAAAGCCTTAGGTCCCCATTTGGCTTCTGAACCATTACTACAGGTGAGTTCCAAGCTGACTGTGAAGGTGACACAAGTCCCAAACTAAGCATTCTATCCAATTCTTTTTCAAGTGCTAGTTGCTTAACAGGTGATAATGGATAGTACCTTTGCTTAATAGGTTTGCTATCCCCTGTGTCTATGACGTGATGAATTAAATTGGTACGTCCCAAACCTACTTTAACTGTGTTAATTGTATCAAACTGTTGGACTAACTTATCCATGATTTGTTTTTGTTCTATGGATACAGACTCGTATTCTTCAAGGCCTTTATTAAGAGAAACCGAATTTATGCTATTACATATTGATGACTCCGACTTTCGGTCAAACTGTACTTCGGATACAAGGTCACTCCCTAAGTCAAACACCTGCCAAAAATCAACACCTAGAATTATAGGTGAAGTTATTTGTGCAACAACATAAAAGTTAATCACTCTGAAATTATTGTTAAATTCTATAGGTAAGGACATATACCCTAAGCAATGCAATCTC